CAGTGTTTCGTTCTGCTGTGCATGAGGTCGCTGTGGGTCGGTACCGACTAGATGGCACCTAACAACAACATATATAGCTTTAAGTTTCACTGACTTTGCTTCTCTTGACAACCCAGCCTAACACAAGAAATATCTACAGCATGTGAGGGAGAGGTCACCAGAGGGCCCGCTGTATCCCCCTCAACCCCCAGAACCAGCCTGGCCCTGAAGGAGGTGGGGCACAGACCCCACCTCCCTCTTCCAGCACCTGGCCTCACCTGTCGTTGGCAACAGGCAGGGCGATCTCAAACTTGGCCAGGAACTGGAAGTACTGCTCCTCAGTCTGCTGCGTGAAGCCCGTGCCTAGCAGCAGCATTCTGAGGTCCTCTGTGCGGATCACCCCATTCTTGGCCACAGACCTGGAGCCCTTGATGTTGAAAATTCTCTGCAGGCATTCGGACAGCCATATGGGGTCGAGGAAGTAGAGATTCCGCAGGCCGTGGCTCGTGTCCGGGAAGTGCAAGAGGGTGCCGGTTTCTATAAGGAAGCTGATGGCTGCCCCGGATGGGGGAGAACTCAGCATTAGAGAAGGAAAGTGGAAAGGATTCTGTGGGTGAGATCATTTTCTCAGACAGAGTCAGCCGCCTGATCAGTCTCTAATGGTACCTTAACACTCCAGGTAGAGCACCTGGTTAATGCACTGGTCTGTAACCCAAGGGCTGGAGATTCAAGTCCGCCCAAGGGGAATCACACAAGAAAGACCTGGGATCAACTTCTGACAAATGACAAATTCTATGGAGCAGCTGTATTCGGACACACCAGGCTGCCGTGGGGATGAACCCGACAGCAACTCAAAAAGCTGATCTGACAATCAACTAGGTATCAGACTCCCCAACTGAATGGTCCGCCCTGGAGGACAGGGACCAACAGAGACATCTTCCCGGAGTTCTGATCCTTTGCCCACACCCACCGGCTTGCAGGTCCTCGTAGTCCTTGATGTCATTGCCCGGGGTCTGTTCCACCAGCTGCTCCAGTTGCCTGTCCGTCAGGTACTGGACGGCATTACTCTGGCTGCGCCGCTGCTGCTCGGCTAACACGGCCTCCTGGAGACTCAGGTAGCTCTTGGGGACCTGGGGGCAGCAGGTGGGTTTCCAGGCCAGTTCACGTGGGCCTGGCCCCTCCCCAGCCATAGCCCAACGACCGTTCAGACCACTGGCTTCCACCTATTACCTCCCACAAGAAACTGCTCACATCTGGGACCCCAGCCTTATGACACGTTGACAGTCAAGAGACAGGGAAGTGGGACCCAGCATGCACACTGTGACTCCAGGGCTCAATACTGACCAGCCTGCCAGCTAGGAGCTGGCAGCCGATGGCGCTGCCGACGTCTTTCATGCTGCAGGTAACGTGGAAGATCAGCTGCCGCAGCCCCTCCTGACCCTCCAGGCTTTGACAGGAAAGTTCACTGGGTGGAGAAAGAACCGTGTCAGTGTGCTGTGAAAATGGACACACGTTTGTGGAGTACACACTTTGTCAGAGCTCATGTTGGGCACCTCAGTGTGTCCTGTAATCTGTCTCCAACGCACCCATTTTACAGAGGAGGAAACCAGGCTGAAAGGGATGAAGCAACCACAGATCACCAGGCACACGAGGAATCCCAGAATGCCTGGTCCTCTGTTCTGGGCCAGGCTGAGACATCCCCAGTTGGCATGACCACCGGAGACATGGGCTCCACTCAGAATCAGGTGTCAGGGCCAAGAGTCAGCAGTGTTACAAGGGCAGAGTACACTCTGTTTCCATGGGAACACTGAATGCTCACTGAACTCTCTCAGCCTATTCACACCCAGTCCTGCAGAGCTGTTGTGGGAATCCAACAACAGGAGCTAAGTTAAGTGACAAGCCCAGGTCCCTGGTCCCAACGGAACCATCCCATCCCTCTTCCATGTCCACATGCTCCCAGACGCAAGGCCTGGTGAGTCTCCGAGCTCCACATGGGATTGGGACAGAGTCTGGGTTTGATGCTGGATAAGTGAAAACAAATGCCCGTGAGTGGATGTGGGTGCTCACAACTGCACCCTCAACATGGTCCATGAACCCTTAGAAGGAGCCCTCTGTGAGCACGTCTGGGGGAAGGCAGGTGTGCTGGCATGGGGGCTGGGCACAAGGTACAGGACCAGGTGGGCCCCTAGGACACTCACTATAGGTGCTTGTTGGTGATCTCTGGGAAGCCTGTGGCTCTGGCTCCCGAGGGTGAGCGGCAGAGCGCCAGGACATAGGCACGCAGTGTCGCGATCCTTTCCACTCGGAATTTCATTTCGATTAAGTCCAGGTGTGTTCCCACCACCAACACCACTGCATTGGGGGCCTTGGCCTTACAGTGAGAGAGGGCGAGAGCAAACCACACAGCCAGTCAGACAAGGTCAGATGGGGCTGCCAACCACTGCAGCCAACCTTCCTCTCTGCAAACCCCCAGGCCCTGCAAACCCCTGCCTAGTCTCGGAGGCACCATAGACTAAGACGGCTTGTTCTGTGGAAACTGGCCTTTCCCCTCCCCAGGAGCTGCCGGTGTGTTCAGAGCTATGGTCCCAGGGGGAGAGGCTTCTGACCCTCCAGACACCCTGTCTGTGCTGAGTGGTGGGCCTACCTCACTCATGACAGCACCACACCACCTGGGAAGGGGAGTCTGCTCCCACCAGGGTGGGTTCCCAAATATAAGGCAAGTAAGAAAAGTATAAGAGCAGTTAACAGTCACCAGGCCTGGTGGAATTTTCTTTTTGAGATAAGTATGTTCTTTTTGGGAGTGTGGTAGCTCTGTAGGATAAGCACTGGCCCGTGGACCACAAAGTCAGTGGTTTGAGTCCAACTGCGCCTAAACAGATTTACAGCCTCAGGAACGCTTTACAGGGTCAAAAGAGTTGCAACCAACTTGAGGGCGGACGACACTTAACAACAACAACAAATATGTTCCCTTAACTCTAACAACTCTTGACAACAGTTATGTATTATTTTTACTGCAATTAGTAGTAGTTAACGAAACCAAGCCCAAGTCCTTAGTGACTGATTTGTTGTTGTTAAGTGCCATTGAGTTGGGTCCAACCCACAGCGACCCTGTAGAAGGTTTCCAAGGAGCAGCTGGTGAGCTTGAACTGCCGACCTTGCAGCTTTAGGATCAATTAAGGCCTAAATGCTTCACTGTGGAAACACAGCAGAAACTATGACCCCGGGACCCTCGGTAAATTCCTCCTCAAAATGCAAAGCAATTTTTCCTAATATGATTTCTTGTTTCTAAGTAGAAGGGAATGAGTCACAGAAACAGCCAGACCACGATGTGCTGAGTGTCTGAGAACTGCAGCGCCCTGGTGTCTCCTCACCTCGATGTTCAGCAGCCAGAACTGGAGGCTTGCCACGGCCTCCTCACCCAACGCCAGGTTCCACACTACCACGTACAAGGCCTTGTCCGTGAAGAAGCACTGGTTGACCGTGGCCATGCTGGCTGGGCCGCCAATATCCCAGACATTGAACTCCACAGACTCTATCTACTTGAGCAATGAAGGCAGTAACAGTGAGGCGTTTTAAGAAACCAAACTTTACAGTAAATCAAACATTTACTCTACATTTTGTTTCTGGAAAATAAATGGTAGAAAAACCTCACAGGTCTTGTGGTTTCACTCAAGAATCGTACTCAAAGGGAGCTCAGAGGCAGACTTCTAGAAGCCTCCTCCACCGGTCACAAAGCAGCAGCATGGCTGGCCGGGACATTTTTCTGAGTCAGAGTAACATTCGAGGGCATTGCTCAAGAGGGTCTGAAGACATCCTGCTGGAAGAAGTCCCAGACTCACATCATGCTCACTCTTGGGGGTTCAGGCTTCTCCTTGGTGTGAGTGGGTCCCCAGCTTGTGAAGGTCAGAGGACGCCACCCACCAAGGAGGCGAGGAGACTCTTGCCGTGGGACTCAAACAAAAGATTCGCTGTTGAGCTGCTGGGAAAAGGCTGTGTAAACTGTGGTTTCTCTATCGTTTTTATGAGGTAAGAGTCTGGCCTGAGAAGCTATGTCTGCAGTTCTGTGTAGCAGGAACCTTTTCCACGAGGTTGCGTTTTGGCATCAGAGACACTGTGCTGACCTGCTTTTGTGTGAAGATGATCATGAACAGCTGTTGTCAACTGGCCGAAGGCAGCTGCACACAGAGTTATGGGGCAGAACGTCCAGCTCTGCTCACTGTTCACAAGGTCAGGGGGTTCTCCTCCAACTACATGAAGAGGGGCCCTAACGTTGGCTAACACACGAGAATAGAAACATGAATGCGCCCCTAAGCCCTGGACAGCCATTTGCTATGCAACAGCTGGAAGAAAATCTCAGACTGAATAATTGTTTAAAAAACAGAGCAGGAGAGAAGTCACCAGATCCTGTCCCATGAGGGAACTCTGGGCATGAATCAGCACGGCCGACTCCTGGGGTACCTGGAGGCACACCTGGTGCTCGTTAAGGGGCAAAGCTGTTTTCTCTGTCCTGACCCTAAACGGGCAGGACTCAGTTCTGCCGAGGAGCAACTCCCATGCTCTCTTAGAATATACATTTGGTTTAACTGTCTCAGGGATCCCTGGGTGGTGTAAACAGTTAATGTGCTTGACTACTAACCAAAAAGTTCAAGTCCACCCAGGTCTCACCTTCAAAGGCCCAGCAGTTTTCTTCTGAAAAGCCAGCCATTGAAACCCTTGTGAAGTACAGTTCTCCTCTGACAACCGAGGAACTGCTATGACTTAGGGTCAATTGATAGCAACTGGTGGCTTTTAAGTGTCTGACTCATCCAGCTGGCTTTCGCTGAGGTGAACAGCGGCTTCCTGTGAAGGACTCTGCAGGGAAACCCATCTCTGGATTCTGGGAATCTAAAGTCACTCTGATGGGAGCTACTGGGAACATTCTATTCTGCAAGATATGACCTCCAGACCCTCTGGCCTCCCACAGGAAAGCAGCCTCCTTGCGCCCCAGGTCCCTGGGTGTTCCTGACCCAGCTGGAACACACAGGCGGCCTCCAGTGCGTTTCTGTGTTCGCAGGGCAAGGACCATCCCATTTTCATTGATCTGAGTCTGAAATGACTAACAGGACAACCAATGAGTGACTAAGGATGCCTTTTCAACAAGGCTTAAAATCCGGAACTTTCTAAAATGGGTGTGTATGAGTATGTGAGTGTATGTGTGTGTGTGTGGGACAGAGGACAAGATACTAGTTCAGGGGTGCTGTCTTGGCCTTCTCGCTAGGAAGCGGCTGTTCACTAGGGCTTCACTGGCGACAGCAGGAACCTTCAACCCTGAGGAGGGCCCTCTGGGATGTGTGTATCCCGGGACTCACACCCCACCGTGAAAGCCCTGGAGAAGAAGGC